CCTAAACCCTACCTAAACCCTAAACTGGTCAGATGAGTGGAGATTCGCCTGCATTCTGCGACGGGACTCCCGAAGCGTGCGCCCAATGCTACGATAAGGGGCCGAAATAATTACCCATACTATTTTCTTGGGGGAGTTTCTTAGTATAAAAATTAGTACAAAGGGGCCCCAAAACCCTATTCTACTTATTAAGGCCCTAGCATTCTAGTATAATGGGCCCCAACACCCTATTCTAACTATTAAGGCCCTATAATTCTAGTACAATGGGCCCCAACACCCCATTCTAATTATGAAGGCCCCTATATTATGCTGAAGACATGGAAGCCCTAAATTCGAAACCCTGAAGCCCAAGCCCCAAAACTCAAAGCCCGTAGCTGTGACAAGTTTGAACCCAAAACCCTGAACCCTGGCTTGCCCGAGTGTGAGTGTCAAAACATTGCCTAAGTCTTCAACACTTCAGCCGGACCAAAATTCAGCAGGGTTTAGGGCTGATTCAGCAGGGTTTCAGGGCTAATATACAGGGGGCTTCAATAATTACCAATACCAATACTATCTTCGGGTTCCTTGTGGTAGCTAGTAGTTATATGGTATAATGTAACTGTATTACTCCAAACCCTGAGACCCTGAAGCCTAAACCCTCAACCCTAAACCCTAAACAGAAAAACCAAGGCCTACGGCGGTGATGGTAGCCACGGGGCTCGCCGCACAGCACGGCTGCCTGGTCAAGGAAGGGCCAAAAGCCATTCCAGGGATGGTTTGTACTTGGAGGCTTAATTAGGGTTCCTTTTATTGTTTAGGGTTTAGGGGGTTCAGGGCTTAGGGTTTAGGTTTCAGGGGCCCAATTCAGGGGCCTTACTTGGAGGTTCATGGGTAGTTATAAGCGGGGTTATAAGTAGGGTAGCTACAGTTATAACCCATATTACGGGGACTTTATAACCCCACTTACAACTACCCATGAACCCCTAAACCCTAAACCCTAAACCCTAAACCCTAAACCAAGTAAGGTTGAGGCGGATTGAGGGGTTTCTGGGTTTACTGCTTGCAAGGAGGTCTGGGCTTCTGCTTTCTATACCCGCCATGGTCTTTTGTGAAGCTGCTTCATTGCTACGTGATTTCCTGCTTCTTTCGGCAGTTATTCCTTCTTGCTCGTTGCTGTCTGCCGTTGGCAATTCCTTTTCGTGCTTCCATCTTTAATCTGCCTCTTGCCGTTGTTGTTTGGTTTGCTTCTTGTTGTGGCTAAGTACATTCTATCCTTATTCTGCGGCAAGCTCTCGGGGCATTGCAAATGGAAGCTGTGCTGTTCTGCGCCGGAAGGTACCTTGCATGTGACATGACAGCACCTCACGGTTTGGGGATGTTTAGGGCTTAGGGTTTGCGTAGCAAGCTGCCGCGAATCATGACATTGCCAATGATGATTCCCGACTGGCATGACGAACATGTCGCAACATGGAATATCCAACCCACGGAGCACGATTGTTCCAACTCTCGTTCAAATCCAGTTGCTGCATACGAGGATCCCGCAGCCGCAAAGTGGAGTCTCCGACTAGCTGCCTCGCTCGCCCGACGCAACTCCTGCATGTTGCACTTGTCCACTAGCTTGGAACAAAACAGAAAGCTGCAACCTACAATGCCCCACCTTGCCACAAAAAAAAAAAGCAACGTCAGCCGGACGAAAAAAAACCTTTCCGGCGATTTCGGATTGTTGATTTTGGGATGACCCCAAACATATCCTAAGCTAACACCCTCATCGGATGGGGCCGTCATTTTCGGATATCTCAGGAGCGCTTGTGATCGCCTCGACCTGTAAGTTGATGCCCTGAAACCTTCTAGGGTGTAGCAAAAACCAAGAAAAAGGACTTTAGGGTGTAGTAAAAAACAAACAAAAGGACTTTTGCGTCGGAGTGTTCATTTTGTAGGGTGGTAGTAGCCCTATAACTTTTTTTGGGGGGGGATTGCAGTCTCTATGTAATCCCAAAGGTTGACCATTAGTTTCCCCAAAGTACTGGGCAACCTGGCTTACATCACAGCTTACGCCGGTTTAGGGTTTAGGGCTCTTCAGCTTGAACCTTAGCCCCGAGCCCGATCCCACAAACTATTGCAAGGGTGTGGGTTTGACTATAGAGTTGAACTGATGTTCAGGGTTTAGGGCTTAGGTTTAGGGTTTGGCGGCCTCCACCCTTTACCCCCCCGAACCATTGGGCCCTAAAGCTCGCAAACGGAACGTCGCATGTGCTGGTGGAGCTCCTGCTCGTCACTCCTAAGCCGAAGCTGTTTAGGTGATCTGAGATGAAAATCGCAAGTCGCCTGCCGCAGGATGCAGTGGTTTGGGAGAAGGCCGGTATCACCTGAGGGTGTCAGGGTTTAGGGCCAGCTGGGATCAATGTCAGGCTGGGATTTTCATGGGTGCTACGTGTATAAGGTATCCAGAATGATGTGAAGGGATGTCGAGTCTTCAATCTTCCCGTCCCCCACTAGCTGGAGCTCGGGTGCCCAATTGTTCTCGGTTCACAGTGGCAAGCCCTGTACGACTTGTTTGATTGTTTCGCGATGGCGGTTGCTGACAGGCTTTGGCATTGAACAAGCTTTGTGTTGGTCGATTCTTGCGACATGCTGGGCTAGGCTAAGCCGAAACCCTAAACCCTCACCCCAAACCCTAAGCCGAAGCAGTAAATTCGGCGTACTAATCCTCGGAGCCAAGCTAGGCAGTCTGCAGGAATCCTGGCAAACCGGCCCTGGCCTAGCAACAGTTATAAGAGACGACCCACGATCTTTGCAGTTGAGGATGGCAAGGTTTCAGACCGCGCTACCTAAACTCTGGACCTTACAACTTCCAAACAACATGCTTGTTGAGATCCAATGCCAGACAGCTCTATACTCGTACGTTGCAGCTTCTTGGACTAGAAGATAGAGCATGGGGGGCCTGAGTACTTAGCAATTCCAATACTATAGGATTCCCTAATAGAGCTGTTCTGTTGTTCATGCCGAAATCCCGTTCTGATTATCCAGGCCGCTATAGTACGCCGACAGAGTAGATTACACAGGAACACGATCCGGATGCTATGCCATGTGGGTAGTTCTCCAAAGTAGAGAGTCCGCTTTAGGGTGCCATTTATGACCGTGCCGTACTTTATTGGTGACCTAAAAAGGGACCTTACTTTAGAGAACTACGCATGTGCTCAAACTACAGGGTGGCCTGATGTTGCTGAGTAGCCTGAGAAATCATGCCCTGAGATCTGAGAAATCGGGGCTGCTCGAAACTAGGGATACCCTAACCCCCCAGGTACCTACTATATAGGGTACTAGAGCCCCTAGGGCCCTATATAGTAGGTACCTGGGGGTTAGGGATACATTCTTTTTAGTTTCAGTGGTTCTTATATATATATATATATAACAGTTTTAGGGTTTAAGACTTAGGGATCATGACAAGTGTCCTTTCTAGTGGGGGTTCAATGTGTCGGGCCCCGAGACTTTCTGAGACCCCGATACATATGTTACAAAAGCCACAGGGCCCTAAACCCTAAACCTCCTGAGCCCTAAACCCTAAGCCTCCTGAACCCTAAACCCTAAGCCTCCTGAACCCTAAACCCTAAACCCCTTGTACAAGAGGCCTTACAGAACCTCTAGCTTCAAGGAACCCTTAGATTCTTGAAACCCTAT